CGGTTCCTTGAACCTGGTCGGCAGTCGGGGCAGACCCCGAGGTTTGGACCAGCTTCGGCTACTCAGTTGGGGGCACTGGGTTGGCGTCGGAACCCGCAGCCGTCACACCTCAGCTAGTGGCGGCGCTCTTTACATTTTTCAAGAACTTCAAGTGACCCATCTCAATCTCTCTTGCGAACTTGAGTTGAACATCGGTATTGGGAACTTTGCGCCGGAAGAATTGGGCGTCCTCGATTGATTTGAAACCGAAGAAACTGAGGATAGGATAGTAAACTGAAAATTCACACAAAGGGAAATCATAAAAAACACACAGGGGAAGTCACGTCAAAATGAACATCAGAATCAGCAAAAAAAATCCATTTTACTAGGAGAGATCATTTTGAATGGGCGAAGCGCCGTGAGTACCGCCTTAGCTTATTCCGTCTCTTTCAACAACTTCTGCCAATTACGATCGGAAGGGTCGACCTTCGCAAGATCCTTGAGCCTCTCATCGAATTCGGCAGTGAGTTTGGGTTCTTTCTTCCTTCGGACTACAAAGACCAAAGGTTCCGATCTGTTAGCAAAAGAAAAGACCAACAGTCAGGAGGTGGTGAAGTGGGTTACGAATGAAAAACTTACTATAAGCAGAAACAGCTCAGTTTGGGATGGTCATCCCGTCAATTTTCTACTCCAAAAGAAAGTCGGCTGACTCCCAATCACCACCGACCCAGAACCATTCCTCCTGAAAGCCATGTAACGTATCAGGGATCTTAGTGATCAACTGACTGACCTTCAGTTCACTTTGTGCATTAGCGGATCAGAAAAAACAACCGATAGGTGGGACACCGTCCCATTCTCGGCTCCGCTTAAAAAAGAAGATACTCCGGAACTCATCTATAGAAGGGAACGGCAACCCTTTCTGTACACTGAGAACCAAAAGGCCAAAAATTTTCTTCCAACTGTTCAGCGTGATCTGGCTTATACCGATTTCTCAATCCCGAAGGTAGTCGGTAATCATGTTGGGAAGGGGAAACCACAATCCCGACCTAATGCTCTCGGCGAACACCCCAACACAGCTGGGAGGAGGAGAATGAATCCTCTCCCCAGGGTATGGGGCAAACATCTTCACCGTGGGCGGAATCTGAGCCGACTTCCTCAACAACACCACGTCGGCATCGGTCATCGTGCTAGGCTCACTGGGAAATATTGCATCGGCATCGGCCCAATGATGAAGAGGGTGATTCCAGTAACCCTCACGAATGGGGAGGTCTTTTTCAACCTCGGCGTCGCCTTCATGGTTATTCCTTCGTAAGACTAAACGCTCGGCGAATAGTAGGTCCCAGCGGTAGTACCCCAACGCCAACTTCATGTCAACCTCTTCGTCTGAGGCAGACTCGCGAACCATCTCATCAGAAACTGTCCTGCTACTACTCTCCGGCGCTCGTTCCGCCATTGTTTGGGTGATGGACGGAATTTTGAAAAAATAAAAGAAAAATGCGAGAAACGAAAAATAGGGATAGACAGAAGAACTCACCGCGAAAGAACAACTGAGCCTAGGACGTCGGGAGTTGGAAATCGGAAAAGCAAAGGGCGAAAGAAGAGTAGGAAATAAAGCGAAGGGTAGAATGAAGAGGATGCGTATTTCTAAGGGTTGAAGAAGATTGAGTATTTATATGAAGAACGATATGACCGTTATAAAGAAACTGACGCCCGTGAACCATCACAATATAAGATAAGGACGTTTCGCGTTGCTCCCGCAATTACACGCGGATGAATAGGGGATTGCCACGTAAGAATATCGTCAGAGATCATGGGAACGTGTAGTGGAGAGACGTAACTGCCTGGAACTGAAGAAGACGGGCACGTTGTACCGTGATACCACGCGCCGTATCAAGGGAACTACGAGCTTCACACAAAAGATGGAAGGATTTTCGACTAAGGGCGGGAAGTCGGCTAGAGACCCATTGCAGGAGATATCGATAAAGAGTAGAAAGTGACATTAAGGTGGACCATAGCACATGTCCCCCTCAATGTCAGGGGCCTCAATGTTGACATAAGAATCTTCTCGCACGTCGGATGAACGACACGTGGATCGTGGAGGGAATCAAGAGTCGCGTCGAAGAGAGAAAAGGGAAAGTTTTCCGAGTTGAAGAAACCGACCTCTTCAAGGCGCCGACCTCCTCAATAAAGGCGATTTAAATGAAGGCTGACGTCGATACCGATAGGTTGCATTTAATGCCTATCTATCAAATGTCTCGGACCACGTGAGAACATCATTGCTGTGGGACCCCACGTGCAGGGAAAGCCAGACCTATTCTGTCACACCGCATTAAATGCCGCCATATCTCATGAAAAGACGAGCCCACAGTTACTATAAATAGTGGCATTAAACACGGTACAAAGATCCTTTTTCTGACACATTTAATTCTGCATTAAACACCTTGGTTTGCGCTCACAACCGACTCATTGTATGGAAAAAACCGACCTCAAGTCCGCAATACCGACTTGTGACTGTTGTCATTAATATCCGATTTAACGAATAAAATCACCTCAATTTCGTATTAATCCCCGATATTTACGTTTCTAAAGTTGATTAAATTCGTTTATCAACAAATCTTATTCCGTATTGTTTTATGAACATGTTGATCTGGTCTTATGAACCGGTTGCTTTGGTTCTATATACATGTTGATTTGCTTTCAAACTTGGGTTTTGAAAAAGTTAAACTTGTGAATTGGTTTTTGAACCCGATGAGTTGGTTTGTTTCTTATTGAAACATGTTTAATGGGATATTCATGTTAATGTGCTTCTTGAATATCATGTTAAGTTATTTACTTTGGGATAATGAAATCCATGTGAAAAACTGGGTAATGAATCCTTGTGAGTTCATATATGACTTGAACTATGATAATGTCCATGTTAATGTTGGTTTCGAAAAATGAATTTTCGAAAATGTTATCTTGATTTTTGGAAAGTCATCAAAGTGTGGCGTTACATGCTCTCCTGAAGGTTCATGTTTTGTAAGAACTCCTTCCGCTATTGAGTGAATGTTTTTATACTGTTTAAGCACAATTCTATATCTCTCCAAAATTTCACGAATCATTATGTATGATGCAAAAATATGGACAATATATAAAGCATTAATGAAGTTATTATGTACACAAATATTGCAAATCCGGACCATATGTACAAGATATTATGATAAACAACTCTACAATTATTGCAAAAAAAAAGGTCAATTATTCGCATACAATAGATTATGTAGTTTGTCTATCTTCTAAATAAATAACATTGAAAAGATAATGTCGGAACCTGATCAAAATATTTTTTTAATGTTTGAATAAAGTTGTCATTGTTTATAGGAATATTTGCAATCTTATTAATATATTGTGCTCCAACATATATGCAATTACTTTTGAGTATGTACTTTAATATAATGTATGATCATGATTTCAAAAAATAAGTTAGCGTCTCGGAAGAAGTACATGTAACCAAGATTTTAGAAAGTCAACTTTTATTTGAAAATGAAATGCCTGAAATTTCATATAATCATAAAGTTTGACTATATTTTTGTGCAGAATATTTCTAAATATTTGAATAAAGTACCTGTTTGCCAAATGAATTAAGAAAAATTATGCAAAACTATTGATGTATTGGGCTTCAACGGGTATGAAATAAAATTGATCTTGAATCATCTAATATAAAAAATAAAATAACTAACGCATTTATAATATATTTGATTCTTATTTGGTTATTTAGTGTTTTTTTTATTTTATAGGGACTTATTTTCATATTCTTTTCTTAGAGTTATAATATGTTATTTCATTTTTTTATATTAAGACATCATTATATTATTTCAATAAAAAATACATCAGATAAAAAGAACTATGTTTGATAACGTTAAAAGTTGAATGGTGCTATTGTATCAACAAATTAAAGAAAAAAAATCACCTAGATAATTAAATAACTTGATGATCAACAATATTTGTCCATAGTGGATCTTTCATAAGCATAAACATAGATCATGACCACAAGAATATTCTTAAAAAATATCTTGTTGCAATACATCAACATCATCACACTATTCTAGAATCCACTAGCAACATATCATATATGAATCGCTTTGCAAAATATCAGCCAAGCAATCTTAATAAATTAATTTCAAAATGATAATTGATTTACAGCCATCATTTTATTAATATATTACATAGTAGTCTCAGAAGTAACAAGCTACGCACCACAAAAAAGTTACAATAAGTTGCACTAGTTGAGTACAAATGCTGATCACTATATATGAATCTTATTCCACTAATAACATAGCGTACAACCATCACTCAGGACATATATAAGAAAAAGTAAAATAACTGGAATACTGTTTATACAGTGAGTTGCTGATGGCCAAATACATGTCAAAGTAGCATAGATGGCCACAACCCTAATAAATCTTTACTAATTCTCTCAAACTTTAACTATAAAGTATAAACAACACACTCATGTTGTACAACTTGAAACTCTAAAAGTAATAGTGATCACCCATTTGCTGCATCAACATCTTGCTCTGATCCTCATCATCCACGTGCCACAACCAGTCAGCCCCACAAAAATCCCACGTGCGACTGCTCAACTTGTTGTACCCTTCCGACAGCTCGATATCTTTCCATATTTCATCCATGGAGTAAGCTTCCGCGCCTTCTTCAATTTCCAAACTAGTTTTGCTTGCTCCAGTTGGATCTTTGCTGCCTGGGTTGATCTTCGCATGAGCTCGAGTGGGGCTGTCCGAGGATAGCGAGTTGGAATACGAGGATGATGTTGGCGATGATTGTGCGTTTGGTTTCTTTTCTTCGTGGGCCTTTTTCCGCATGTATGTCCTCCAGTAGTTCTTGATCTCGTTATCCGTGCGGCCGGGTAATTTGCGCGCGATTCTTGACCATCTTCAAGTATACTTTTCTTCAATAAGTTAAAAATAGATAGAAGCACAAACGAAATATTGAAACAATTGACGCAAGGAACATATATCATCAGTGTTTTTCGAGTGTAGTTGGGCGGATTCAATCGACAACAAAAATGCTAGCTTATAGCTACTTAGCAAAAATTGAGTTTTTGTTTATTTACTTGTTTAAAGTCTTTGTTGGTACACCAACTTTTCCCTAATCTTTAAAAATAATACGTTATGTTGCAATTTATATCACTATATATATATATTGGATCATTATTTGGGATTAATGTCCTAGAAATGGTACGAATTACAACATAACACATTGTTTTTGATGTGTAATGTCCCGAAAACGATACAAATTGTAACATAACGCACTGTTATTGATCAAAGGGAAGTTACTTTACAAAAAAATAAATTTTAGACAATTAAACGGACCAAAATAGAAACTTTTCCTTAGCTACTCAACATACTCAAGAGATGAAACATTAGTGTATCAATTTGACGGTTCAACAAAAGTATGTTATGCATAAACACATAAATAAAACACAAAAAAAAAAAGGGTGGGGTGATAAAGAGAAGAACCTATTTCCCCATTTGGAGTGAAGGTGAAGAACAAGGCGCTCCTCATGAGGGGTCATCTTTCCCCTTTTGAGGTCAGGGTGCAGGTAATTAACCCAACGCAACCTGCAGCTTTTGCCTGTTCTTTTCAGACCTGTAACCCAACATAATTTAATTCCCCCCACCAAAAAACAAAACAAAGGANNNAAAAAAAAAAAAAAAAAAAACAACAACGGTTTGTTAATTCTTTTCGGGCACTTTGTGATTAAAAATTTGCATGCCCAAAACACGCCTACCTATGATTCCTGTCTCCCGCCAACCTTCAAACCTGAAACTTTGGATATGAAATCCCAACGCCGGTCGCCGAACAAGTTCACGTAAAATACCAGCTGAACGTCCTCTTCTTCGGTCCATGGACCTTTTCTCATCTCTCCTTTACTACTATTTTTATTCATCTCTATAATTTCAGATTCTTTTTTTTTTTTT